CTCCAGCTCAAGTCGGGGGCGGGGACCGCAAACAATTTCGGGGATGTTCTCAGGGGTGCAGACCGGCGGAGGAAGTCAGACGCGAGTCCCAGGGCCGAGGGGTCAGAGTTGGGCCTCACACATCTGCCCTGCTCTCCCCGACAAACTGCTGACGTGGTGGCTAAGACTGTCCAGGGGCCTAGGCGAGGCCGCCGACCCGTGCACGCTGCCGGGCCGTTTCCTGTCCCTTCCCAGCCGGCGGGACTGGCCTCTGCCTGGTCAGAGCGCGGGGATGGCCGGGGGGTGCCGGGCCTGGCGTTTCCCAGGCGCGAAGTCGCAGCGCGGTTCCGGGAAGGCAACCTGAGCCCGGAGCTTCCACTCGGGCCCCGCGACCGCGCCCAGGGCCCCTCTGTGAGTGCAGCCCCTGCGGGGAGAACCGAGCCCCTCGCAGGCTCAGAGCGCCGAAGCGCGTGGCGCGCGGGGCCACATGCAGGGCGTCCATGCAGGTGCGCACCGCGCCCTAAGCGCGGCCGGCAGAAGCGCCGCCTTTGCCGCGCCGGTGGGGCCCGCCGTGGCCTCTGGGCGCAGGAAGCCTCTGCCCCGCAGACTTGCTGTGGGGTTCGAATGGGAGCGCAGCGGAGAGCGGGCGCGGAGTGAATGCTGGGCTGTGTCGCCCTCGTGCTTTTGGGTGGTGTCACGTAGTAATTAATCAGTGGCGGATATTACTATGACTCGCTGCCCGTTTGGAGCCGTGACCCCTACGCCCGACGGACAGCCGTTTCGTGGCCGGGGTGGGCGGAGGACGGTGTGCACCAGGCCGACCTCTCTCCAGCCTCGCGCCTTCCGTCCGAAACGACTCTCTCATTTCACCCCTGGCCTCCAGGGTTTCTGTGGCAGGGACGAAGGCGACGCTTGTGGCTCTGTGCGGGGACCCGGCGTCTTCTCACACCGCGACCCTCGGGAGTCTGTTTTCGTTTTGTGCAGTCAGCGGCGGGGCTTGGCGCGGTGAAACCCTACTCGGGAGAGGGGAGCGGAAAGCCACTGGCCGGACTGGGCAGGAACGGGGCGTCTGCCCCGCCTTGCAGTGCGTGCACCTGGCTGACCCAGGCTCAGTGTGCGGTGTGGCCCCGCGCGTGGTGGCTTCTCTCCTCGCTTCCTCAGTCGGGGCTGCCCCCCGGGCTATTGACCCCAGCGGAACCAGGCCCCAAACATCCAGCGCGCTGGGTCCGCCCGGCCTGAGACCCGCCCGACCTCGCTCGTGCCTCACTTTCTCGGAGAAAACAACAGAGTGTGTGCGCCCCTAGAGCCGGCCGCAGGGAGGACCCTCCCCTCAGGACTTGGGCCCCCCTGGGCTCATGGGAGGCAGTGGCACGTGTGGCCAAAGCTGGAGCTCTGGTCTTGGGGCGGGGCCAGAGGGGGTGGGAAAAGCGGGATGAAGCGGGGCGGCTCCGGGCTCTGGACCCCTCCTCTCCCTTCCGGAGCCCACCCCGGGCCGCAGCGCAGGACGGTTCTCCGGGGCAGGCCAGGAGCAGCGGGTTTCCCAGGGGCGCGCTACCCTCCCCAAGGGTCCTGGTGACCCTGGCTCCAGGCAAGGGGGACGCCTCGCTCCAGGAGCTGTATTTCGGCTCCTGACACGCCAGGGCAGGGGGTACCCCAGCCCTTTTTTACCGCTTAGGAAACAGAGACCCCGATTCACTGCCCGGCGCCCCAGCCCCCCCAGGCCCGCCTGCGCGGCTGGGTCCTCCCTCCCTGGCTGCAGCCGAGTGCTTGGGGCCGCGGACGGGACTTCCGTCTCCACTGCCCGCAGCGTGCGCGGCTCTCCAGGGAACCAGGGGTAAGGGATGGGGGGGCCGCAGTTCGGTTTTGAGGAGACCGGGGTGAGTTGGGAGCGCCAAGAGTGCGGGGCGATGGCGGCCCCTTTTCCACGCTTCCCTGGCCGTCGTCATCCAGGTGCGCTCCCCAGACGCCCTGTCCCGCCTGCACTCAGGCTCTGGGGTCCGCGCCCCTGATGCCCCCCACCCTCATGGACGTCGCAGCTTGGGGTGCCTGCCCACCAGCGGCCGGGGCCCGGTATTAAGGCTCGTTAACTTCCTGTCTTCGCTGCCCTCGCTGCGCGCTCCGCCGCCTGCGCACCCTCCGACCGCTACCCCGGCTCCCACCGGGCTCCCCTCTTCCTGCGGCCCCAGGCGTCGTTCCCTGGGTAACGCTCCTCCAGGGACCGTCCGGTGGCGGCCCGCAGGGAAGGAGCGCAGCGGAGAGGTTCGCGCGTGCCACCTCCTGGTCTCGGTGAAAACGTCCTGCAGACGGGGAAGGCGGCGCCGTTCGTTGCAAACAGCGTCGCGGGGAAGGGAGAGTGCGCTGTTTGGCGGAGACCATTATTCCTTCCACATTTCTTTGTCGGACACCTGCCAGGTGCCAGGCTTGCTCTAGGAGGGCTACTTGAATGTGGCCAACCCCGCCCCCCAGCTCAGCGGAAGGTAATAAACAGTAAACAAAAGGGACGGTCAGCACCCGCAGGAGAAGACCCGGACCCCCTGTGATCCTTGCAGGCGGAGGGGGCAACCCGGGTCGCAGGGGCCTGGCCTGGGAAAAGAGCTTGGGTTCTCTGCCTGAAGCGCACGGGAAGCCACTGAGTTCGCAAAGAGCTTCCGTGCGTGGAGATCCGCGCAGGCCCTCTGGGGCTGGGGGCTGGGGGCT